ATATACCAGCAATCACAGTCCTTGGTATTCACCCAAAGGAGTTGAAAACTTATGTCCGCACAAAAACCTGCACACAGATGCCAACAGCAAACTTATTCGTAATTGCCAAAACTTGGAAGCAACCAAGATGCCCTTCAAGTAGGTGAATGGATGAACAAATTGTGGTCCATCCCAGACCACGGGATATGATACAGCACTAAAAAGAAATGAGCTATATCGAATCATGAAAAGACATGGAGGAAACGTGAATGCACAGTGCTAAGTGAAAGAAGCCGTCATACCGTAGGATTCCAACTGTACGCGACATTCTGGAAAAGGCAAAACTATGGAGACAGGGGAAGGATCAGTGGCTGCGAGTGGGGAGGGAGGAACGAAGAGACAGAGCACAGAGGATTTTTAGGGCCGAAAAACTACTGTGTATGGTACTATCATGGTGTGTCCATGCCATTACACGTTTGTCCACACTCATAAAGTGTACAACACCAAGAGTGAAGCTTGATTAAAACTATGGACTCTGAGTGACATTATGTGTCCTTGTAGGTTCACCAGTTGTAACAAATGTACTGCTCCGATGAGGGACGTTGTTAGTAGGGAAAGTTATGTGTGTGTATATGGGCAGAAGGTATAAATAGGGAAACCTCTATACCTTCTACTCCATTTCTTTAAATTTATTTATTTTTAAGATTTTATTTGTTTATTTGAGAGAGAGAACAAGCAGGGGAAGGAGCAGAAGGAGAAGCAGACTCCCCGCTGAGCAGGGAACCCCAATGTGGGGCTCGATCCCAGGACCTTCAGATCATGACCTGAGCTGAAGGCAGATGCTCAACCCACTGAGCCACCCAGGTGTCCCTTTAAACTTATTATGTATTTATTTATTTTAAGGAAGCTCCATGCCCGATGTGGGGCTTGAACTCACAACCCTGTGATCAATCGTCACTGCTCCACTGACTGAACCAGCTAGGTGCTCCTATACCTTCTACTCAGTTTTGCTGTGAATCTAAAACTCTAAAAACAAAGTCTTGTTTTTTTTAAGTCAAATTTTAAATGCCGGGAGGGGGGATGTCTCTCCATGAGCCACGCTATAGCAGTTTCCCCACTACCCCCTTTTAGGCATATCTAATCCTGACCAGAGGCTGTGTTGTGATCCCCATCACAGTCATTTTTTAGTCAGGATCCAGGTTCCAATGATTATAATCTTTTTTTTTTTTTTAATTTTTTAAAAGTAATCTCTACCCTCAGCGTGGGACTCGAACTCACAACCCCAAGATCTAAGAGTTGCGTGTTCTACTGACTGAGCCAGCCAGCCCCCACCCCCGGCCCACCCAATGCTTCTAATCTTAAATGTCACCTGCAGTGACCAACCTCTGTAAAGCCACACACAGCTGTTGGTAGGGGACTCTGGCCAGGGTGAGACTGGCACCACCCCAGGGTGACTGTGGACTCCCTGGACACCGGAAGACCTTGAAATCTCAGCAAAACAATTTCTTACTACTCACAAAGAACCTACAAGATCCCAGGAAGCAGGAAAGATTTACAACCTCTTCGGACCTCACCCAGTCGGAGCCTGCCAGGTTGGGGGCACGGTACTTCCCCCTGAGGTCCAAAGCTGCCTCACTGGTAAGACTTACTGGCCCAGCTCTGGGACTAGTTGATGCTGCCCCAAAATCACTGAACAAAAACACTAGCTCAGGGTCCTAGATTCCTTTACTACTCTTGTAGAGCAAGTTACCACTAATGTAGACATCGAAAACAGCACGAGTTTATTATCTCAGTTTCCGTGGGTCACGAGTCTGGTCTTGTTTTATCGGGTTCGCTGTTGGGGCCTCAGCTGCAATCCAGGCTAAGCTGTGGCCTTATCTGAGGCTCGGGGTTGTTGCCCGAATTCAGCTCCTCATGGCTGGAGCTCTTACCTCCTAGAGCCCACTCTCAATCCCAGCCACGCGACCCCCCTCTCCATAGGGGCCACCCTCTGGTTTCACTTTCTCGAGGAGGGCTCGCCTGATTAGGTCAGGGGCACCCAATCCCTCCTTTGATTAAACTTGAAGTCAATTTATTAACAACCTGATTATGGGAGAGATGCCCCACCATATCCGCAGGTTCTGCCCACAACCCGAGGGGATTATATGTGTGCACAACAGAGGGTGGGAATCTTAAAGCAAGTCTTAAAAGACACTCCAAGAAGCAACTGCTGTGGACTTTGTGTCCAGGTTATTGCCCGACACTCAGAAACAAGAGTAACAGAAAATGGCAGGAGAGTGCTGCTAAACCTCCCTGACTAGCCAGTCATTCACCAACTGCCCCAAGAGGAAGAAGGGGACTGTATTAATATGTTCCAGATGGCTGCCCTGACAAATTACCCCGCAGCTTAGTGGCTTCAAACAACACGAACAGTTCAAAAGGTCAGAATCCCAGAGCTAGTTGCATTGGGCTGAAGTCAAGGTGACGGGCAGGGCTGGCGATGGCGTGGGCTCTCGGCACAACCTGCGTCCCCTCTCCTCCGGCTTCTTAAGAGTGGCTTGTGTCCGCGTCGCTCCAGTCTCTGCTTCTGTAGCTGCATCGCCTCCCCCTCTTCTGTGGTCGAATCTCCTGCCTCCCTCTCATCGTTACCTTTGTGATCCCACCACCGGGCCCACCCAGATGATCCAGAACCAGCCCCCATCTCACGATCCCTAACTACTTCACGTCTGCTGAGTCCCCTTCTCTGTGTAAACTGACATTATTCAGCTTACCACGGTGACTAAAAGCAAAGTCACGGTTTTACAGAATGCACAAAAGTTTGCGATCCTAGAAAAATGGACATAACAGCTACAGGGGTGGGGGAGGGGGTGGAATGGGGTTTTAGAAAAGTTGGCTGTTTTTGTTGCTGGCATTCGAGGACACCCACATTGTTTCTGAGGATCATGGGAACTGAAAGTCATGAGTGCCCGAGCTGACCTCCTAATGGGAACCATGCTTCGGACTCATCCGGATTTCTAAACAACAAACTGGAACTACACAGCCCCCTTCCAGCTGGGAAAACCCGGAACCCAGCCCTCTATTGCTCTGTCCCTCACACCCCACACCAACAAGCCAGGGATTTTGGAGGCAGCGATGCCAGGTGCTCTATGTTAAGACAACTTCTCAACTCTTGCACCTTCCAAGATGGTCAACCTCGTGGGACTTTCCTATCAAAGAGTGCCTCGTGCCATCTCTCCTTATTTCAGCAAGCCCAAGGTGGTGTCATTTAAAATGCACCACCAATTCCTAAGACAAGGAATATGCTGCCAATTAATTACAAAACATCAACTCAAAGATACAACCTGATTTCGGAGACACTAAAACGTGAGGGAAAAAATTTTTGAAAAACAATACAATGTGAGGGGAAATATACATCTTTGAATCAATGGGTTTATTTTGAGTCAAAGTACAGTTAAGCCCCTCCTTTCCTGCGAACCTGTTAGGTTGTGATCTGAACAATGAGAATGTACGATGAGCTCCTCTCTACACAGGATGGATCTCGCGCTTCCTCCTGAGCTGAAGCTTTCTATCCTTCCTGCCTTAAATGAGATCCCCCCAAGCATGGAACCTGCTATTTCCATGACCCCAAGACACCATAAAATGTTTATTTCTATTTCCCTGGGGATGTGCCATGGGATGGCCAGGCAGATGGAAGTAGGGTGACTCTTGTGAAGCCCCTTCCTAAACTGCTCCACTGTTCTTTGGGTTCCGAAGCCCAAGATATCTAAATGGTGATCACAACTGAACAGGGGATCACCTACCCTCAATGGAATCCTGAAAATAAGTTTTAATTTTGGCTACTTTATAGAGGCCACAAGGCTTCGAAGAGAAAATGCCCTTTACCTCGGACATGCTATTTCTGCAAGAGATCATCTGTGCTCAAGGTGTGTGGACCCGGTGAAATTGTCACTGAAAGATTCTTCCATTGTTACGCCCATCGCCATGGCTCTAGCTGGAGACTCAGATGCATCACCTTGATGACGGGAAAGTGAAGCAGCTTTTTCTTCCCTTAAGCAAGTTTGGATTAGCGTGCTAGGGTTGGTTGGCTCTTCCTGGTTATGGTGTGCCTTTCATTCTTTCTGACCCTTAGAAGTAGCACGCGGAGGGGGAGGGGAGGCAGACGGAGAAGCATCATGGTCATCTTTGTGCATATGAACAAAGTTGTGGAGAACGCCCTGCTGCCCATCAGGATCCACGCTTGGAAAGCACTGGTCTGTGTCCTCGCGTGCACTCACGTCCTGGGACGGGCATCTTCCACCTCAGTTCTGAGCTCCTGGAATTGTGGCTGCTACGTGTGGCTTGCAGCCTTCCTCCTCCAGGTGGAAACACAACACCCTTCCCGCGTCCGGCGTTCCAGAGACGGGATTTACTCCTCTGTGCTGATCACCCCCGTACTCACCATCCTAGCTTCTGTCCTGACCCTCTACTTATGACGTGGGCAGATGGTGCATCTCTCCGTTGCCTGAGAGCTACCACCCCTCTGCCAAAACACTCAGTCAACCTTAAGAACGCTGAGTCTCGAAATCCTAATCTCATATTTATGTTAAAGGGTTCCACCAACAGGGCCAGAAACATTGGTCTCCAAGCGTGTCTGTTGTATTTTCTCAGCTCCAGACGGTGAAACTCTCCACTGCGTTCATGATGGTCTGTGCAGCGGCTGAACTTGTCATTGCCAGAGCTTGTTCTCTTGCTTCTCAAGAATCTTTGAATATTTGGGCGCCTGGGTGGCTCAGTTGGTTAAGCGACTGCCTTCGGCTCAGGTCATGATCCTGGACTCCCGGGATCGAGTCCCGCATCGGGCTCCCTGCTCAGCAGGGAGTCTGCTTCTCCCTCTGACCCTCCTCCCTCTCATGCTCTC